CCATTGCTTCCTCTTAATTGAACAGAACACAACCTGAGCTCTTCTGAGAGCTGATTGGTATAGCTTCATAAGCCACTTCAGCAAGGATATTCAGAGTGATGCCAGATTCTGCTCGGTAACAGAATGGCAGAGGAAGATTTTTTTCTTCCTTAATTTAATACCTTGTTGTAGTTTTTGCATTGAAACAGTCATGTAGAAATCGGGAAAGGAGGTTGATTACTGGCCATTAAAAGCAGACTCTATCCCTGAAATTGTAGTCTTTCTTTTGCTTGAATTAAATCAGAGAAATACTTGGAGCTTTAGTTGTTATGTCTTAAACTAAAATTGAGAGGAAGGAGTGTTGGAGGGTATCTGCCAAAGGGCTGTTCTAGAAGATGTGATTAGCTCTTTCCAAACTTCATTCAAGGCTCTTTAGTGTTAGTAAATCTCCCAGAAGAACAGATCCAAGAGTGAATTACACAATGGATGTGCTTTTTCTACAAATTACAGCTGTATTGTTCCTCTAAAGGAGGCACTTCGTTGCCCTATTTGCTGAATGGTTTTCCAGACCCTTCTAATGAGTAGGTGGGGCAAATGGTGATTGTGCTGCCTTTGTGATAGAGTGCTTTCTAGCAGGCACAAGTTCGGTATGTGCATGTGTTAGAAGTTTCCATCAGTGGGGATATGATACACTCATTAAACCGCATTTTTCTTTTTTGTTAGCCTTTGGAGTTAAATTTTGTCAAATTACAGTGCAACTTGAATTCTTGTTTTCCTTTTCTGCTCTTTAGTTGGTCAAGTAAAATTTGATCCACCCTTGAGGAAAGAGACAGAGCCACATCATGAATTTGTGAGTAACAAGCAGCATGGGCTATGCTCTGCACATTATTCCCTGCAAATATCTGCGGACGAGAAAATCCAAGATGTGTAGCATACTTCCTTAGTGCTACTAAACTTGGTAGCGATTTTTCTGACAAGTCTTAACATATTGGTCCTAAATTTTTGGTTCCATTAAACGATATGCAGCAAGACTTATTAATTGTGGGCTCTGCCACATATGGTGTATGTGCTAGGCAACAATCCTTTGTCGTGTGGGTTTCCTCTATCCTTTTTAGAGCAAGTTGCCAAGTATTTAATTCCCTTTATTTATAGAGGGTTTTTTTAATTGTAGAGTAACTGTACGTAACTGAAATGTTTCTCTCCCTTGTGCTTGTATTGACAATGATTGATAATGGAAATAATAAAATGGAGAGCCTGGGAAAAAGGCATGATGCATTTTAAAAAATAGGGGTTTTATGGGGTGGTTATTTTTCCACGCAAACAAATCTTTCTGTGGCCCTACATCACACCTGAAGCATGCTGAGCCTGATGTCTTTTGTAAAGGTGTATTGCCAATGTTTTCTTCTATGGACCCATCAGTACAAAGCGTATGAGGACTCCAGCAGTGAGGAAGAAAGGCATCTGTGGTGTGTCACATGGTTGCAGAAGCTTCCTCTCTTCTGTGGAAACTGTTGCTTTTCACATTTGTGCACTTGGGCATTTTCTTTACATTCCTGGATAAAAGACATTCCTTTGCTTCCTTATTGCAGACTTCGGTGTTCTCTACTTTTCTAAGGCAGGTGTTAAGGTGAAAAAGTTGGCTTAGTACATAGGTGGGAGGGACATTGGCTTTGCTCTGAGTTGGTTTTGGGAAGGGTGTGTACTGAGGAATGTACTTCTTCTATAGCCTACAAACCACATCTCAGTAGGATTTTGACATAGATTTTCTTGTATTGCTCTGTGGTTGTACGAAAATCTCCTTCCTGATGCCTTGTACTTCGGTAGTGGGTCAGCTGGCTCTGGGTATATGAGGTTTTATAAAACTTCGCTGTTACTCAGCAACTGGCTGGACAGGTAGTCTGCAGTTTCTGGTGCCTGTTCAAGATGGAGGAGAATAGCTTACTAAATCACACGTAGGACTTAAAACAATTATTTCAGATATTATATTTAGACATTGACGTAACTGCATAACAACATCATTTAGGAGCCCTGGTTATACAAGTGTTTATTAAATATGGTCATGAAGTCAGCGTTTCTACCATAAACTCTTCAGTTAACTCAAAATGATTTTTTTGAACTGATGCCAAGTTATCCTGGCTTTTTCTCCCTATTGTATTGTCTGGATTACAAAGAAAATACTATTCGTAGCGTTGTATAATTCAAATTATAATGCTTTTGCTCCTTAAGAATTTTATTTATTTGTACACACACAGAATCATAATTGCAAAAAGATGTTAATGGAGAAACTGAAGTTTTAAAAATACTTTTTTCAATTTCTCTCTTGTTTTGTCAGTCACTGACTACACAAACCAGTAAGGGGACAACTTCATGGGGCAGAGAGGTGTTTTCATTGCAGCTTAGGAACCTGAGTTGCTAAACTGGGGAGAGAGATTTTCTGCAGGGACTAAAGCACAACTTCTGAGAGCACTTCTTTGGTGGATGTTGTTGGAAGGGAGAGATCAAGCCTTTTCTTCCCTTGCATGTTAGCAGTCAGGACCTTTGCACTTTGGAATCTCAGAAGCTCTTGCTGCTCCCAAGAAGGGACTTGAGTGTTCCAGATGAATTCTGCTTATGAGGAAATCTTAGTATTGTCTGTTCTTGTCAGAGTTTGCGTATTTGAAACCTGTCCAAAGAACTTGCCTGACCTCCCTGTCTGTAAGGAAGATCTGTAACTGCGTGTTTGGATCTTTCTGAAGAGGGAAATTAACTGCTCCAACTGCTTGTATCAGAATGAAGCGTGCACACCCTATCTGTCCTTTCCAGATAAAAGAGAACTATGAACTTGAAACTAATGATATTGGGTCTAGAGACCAAAGAAAAAACTTATTTTTTCATTAGATCTAGAACCAATAGGCAATTTAAACTGGCATGTCAAATGCAGACGAGATCTATTCAAATAATGGATACCCTAGCAAAGAGCCTGAGCACAAAGCTGGCTGAGGGAGAAGTTTGTAACAATCTACATGCTCTGGGAGAGAAGTCTTTTAAATGGAAGTGGGAACAAGAGATGCCTGTCTCTTCCTCCAGGAATAACAGTGTGGATCCATTTTCATTAAAGCAGTTCTCTGACACTTTTGCTTCTGTCTCACTAAAGCATGCTTAAACTTTGTGCTTATTTGTTTATGGGTATGAGTGCACAAGCCAAAGGCCTCGACAACTGCAGCATGACAAGTTATTGTCAGTGGTGCACTGAGATACTGAACTGGTACATACTTGCCTCTTACTGAGGCAGTTTGTTGCTCATTACCATGAGGTGATGAACAATAATTCATTGTTTTGGTGTGATTCAGTAGTGTTTGGTAATGTGACCATACCCGTAGCTGTGTTTTACCCCCATCACCAGAATTGTCTTAACATGGTTTGGGTTTCAACTAACAACTTTTTTTTTTTTAGCAAGAAAATTTCCCTTCATGTATACCTGGCTTTCAGTCACAATGTAAATAACTTGTTTCTTCATCTCTATCTAATGAACAGCCTGACAGTAGCGATTTTTTGGACAATTCAGAAGAAATATACTACACTGCAAGATCTAACCTGGTATTTTTCATCTTATACCTTTCTTTGTTAGTGTTAGTTTTGTCTTTGTTTTCCTTTTACAAAGCTCATGTGTTGTTGTCCTGTTGTACTGGTGTTTTCATCTGTGTAAAAGCCATTCAATATAAGGATTAGTCTATACATGTATTTCTGTAATGTAGGAAGCAATTCTTAGTATGTGCAGTAGTGAAAGTATTTAACCCATATTTGTGTTCAATCACTTCTATAGAAGGAGCTCAGTATTATGTATGCATTCTAATTTCTTTAACGGCTTTACAATGCATAACTTGTTATTTTTTTTGAGGGTAATTAAAAATAGAAGATACATTAGCTTTGTGGTTTTGACTGGTAGTTTCCTTAAATAGTCCCATGAAAGTCTATAAAATTATATAAATGTAAGTCTCTCAATTCTCCAGACAGTAATTATGTTACAGAATGAATATACACTTAATACAAATAACAGAAAGTGGGGTAATAAGTGTTTTCAAGTCATAGGTGGTTTTTGGCATCATTTATAGTCCGATACCTGTTCCAATTTTTCTTCTACTGCACTGTTAAAACAATTTTTTGTTAGCATAGCAGTGTAGAAATTACTTTAGAATGTGAATTTTCTGATTTTTCTGCTCTTTAGGCACTATGTAGTGAGAAAAGTAGTGCTTTTAAATCTTGGACATCTTCATACACAGTTCAAAAAATTTAAGAAATATTCTGTACTGTATTCTGAAGAGCTTTATTCTGCTAACTTTCTTTGATTTGTGAGATGTTTCCTATAAGTGCATTGAGGGGAAAATGGAAAACTGGGGTGTTTGGGAATGTCTTGGTTTTTATGTGATGTTTTTTGGTTTGGATTTTTTTGTTTGTTTTGGCATCAGTTGGCTTGGTGTGACTTGAATCTGCCAATACTGTAGTTACTGAGAGCTTAGACTGTCTTCCTCATTCTTGGAAGGAACTTCCTGTATTGCTTGATTATGAAAATGTTTCGCAAATTGTTTTGAGATCAGTAGCTTAGATTTCTCTCTATGCAGTGGAAATTGCTCTGGTTTTGGGAGTGTGGTTTTGTTTTTTTGCTTTGGTTTGCTTTTGTTTTCTTCTTTTCAGTTTAATGATTGTTAAAATCTGTCTTTTTCAGGTTACTTTCAGTGTTGTTGCATATCTTGCTAGCCTAGTACCTGTGGGTCTAAGAGATGAATGAGAACATGTCTCCTAACTGGGCTGTCCTTTCCCATCCTTCTTTTGCTCCATGCTGTTCAGCACACCCTTTAAAAATTACTGCTATGATAAAGTTTATCAAGTACTATTGTTGTCACAATTGAGAGAGGGTTTTTAAAGTCAATCGATACCACTTGCTATGTTTCACTGCTTTCTTCACAACCTTCTGTGCTCATTGTGAATGAAAGATGAGAATTCTGATTTGGTGGTAATGCTTCAAGCATTTTTGAGGTTTTTACAGTGGGACCTAATCCTTCTGGAAATTAGAAGAAATATTTAGTACTTAGTTCATTTTTCTGTTGTGGACCAGGACATACTAATCAGACTTCCTATCTCTCTCTCCTTCTCCCACTCCTCCATCATGCTCAGACAGTGTTGGCTTCAGATATGTTCAGTGGGAAATGTTTTGTGGATTTTTCAAACATCATCATGAGGAAAAGATTATACTTTTTCACAAACATAATATATCACCTACTGTCAGGCTCTTTCCCATGCTGTTCTACTGGTTTTATAAAATACCTTATGAGAAACAATTCTTTTGCAGATCTATGTGTCTGTAAGATGCTAAAAAAAATCATCAGAAATTAAGGCATATTTTGGGCAGCATGAATCATAAAAGGTATACAGTCAAGGTTGAAAGCAAATTTGGGGAATGAGTAAGAGTGTTTTTATTTATCGCCTAGCATTTTACACAGCTGGATGAATCATATGGCAGCTTATGCTGTATCTGTCACCACACACACTACCTTCTAAAAATTTGACACCTACAATGTGGTTAGCCTTAAAAATCATTCCTTTCCTTTTCCTCTTCCCCCTCCCTTCCCCTTCTGTGCTCCTGAAACAGCCACCTGAATCTGCCAGAAGAATGGGGAAATTCAGTACAGGTCTTGTTTGCAGGGAAAATTCAGTGTCCGAATCCCAGTATCCCTTCATGCAAATGGCAAACAGACAAGGACAAGATAGTACTTCTCTGTAATCTTCTACAAATATACTCCTTTGATTCATATCTAAATAAGTAATAGAATATTTTGCTGTAGATACAAGGCTCTCCTCTTTTTCAGGATAGATTTTTTTATTTTTTCTGCAATTAGACAAATTTCTTAGGAACTAACCTGGGTACCTTCCATCATTTGAGGTTTTCTTGCACAT